ATGTGGAACCAGCTTATAACCGTGGAGTTTTGGTATATTTTTACATCGTACAATAACAAATCTATTTTGTCAAACTTTTAGAAGTGAGATATTGGTAAATTATAATATTAGTTCTATCCTTGGAGGCTAATTTGCTCATCTGGGGAAAAGAATTTCATAAAATTTGTGGAGGGCACATTGCTTTTAATAGTAAGCTGTCATTCAATCAGGTTTTGAATAAACATCCGAGAAGAATATAAGATTCTCAGACGATTTATATATAGAAAGATATTGTATATTGATAATTGTATTTAGATACAGTATGCAATTACATGTGTACAAAAACAACTAAGCCCCACCCTTAGGACTGGATCCAGGGTCAAAAATTGCACAAATTTGATACTGTAAATGAATAAATTATTATAATCAATCACACCTGCATGGATTTCAAACTGCGGAATTAAGATATAATGCAATTTAAATACAAGTAATTAAATTCTACTTCAGGCGTCCAATCCTAGAAGTCTTGAATTTGATATTTTTGGTAGCTGGCTCTTTTGTGTGCCTGATGTTCAGGAGTTAAGATTTTCGAAAATTAGTTTTATGTATTTTTAGGATGTGAATCATGAACATAGGGTCATGAAAACCATATTGATGTACAATGTATAGGTTGTTTTTTTTTAACTTATTTTAATTAAATAGAGAGTTTGCCTGCTACATGTAGGTGTCTACGAGAAAAGATTTATTTTCTCGAAGACAACAATACAGAAAATACATTTTATTTGAAAATGTATTATCAATGTATGGCCGGTGTAACCTGAACTTTGAACCAAGGGATCACGAATTTCACAGATTTGGTAAAGGGCTTCTTGTTTAATACATTAAAGAGTTCCCAAAAAAAGTTTTGAAGATTGCATTAATATCGATGCTTCAGGCCCCATCTCTCGAAACCCTAATGTAACAGAAAATTCAAAAGATTTCCCCTTTTAGCATAAACTTGGGATACTGAATACTAAAATTGGACGGATAGTACTGGGTCACTTTAGTAACTTTTTTTTTTTTTTGAATTTTTCAGACACATTAACTGAACAACTCTGTTTTTATTTTTCTTTACAGGCTTTCTTACCTTTATCCCTATTTGCAATGCTCATTAGTTTTTAGAATGCTAACACTATATAAAGGCGACAGCCAATAGCTCACAATTCAAGCAAGTCTTACTCTTTCCTGCTCATAAAGTTCTTACATTTAAAATCGAACATGGTTAGCAAAACTTCGAGTCAGGGAGTTTATTATCATTATCCATACCTCAAAAATTCTGCTTCCAGTCGTTTTAAAAGAAAGTAACAGGACATAATGTAAAACATAACTTCTAGACAGGAAGAACTAAAGGAAAACGACCCTCGACGTCACCTTAAAGATTATCAAATCAGTACACTGGCAGAGCTTGATGTGGTGGTGACAGACTTTACTCCGCACGTGCAGAACAAAACACCTGAAATAACACCTGCAAACCAAAATTTCCAAAGTTCAAAGAGACCCGAGAAACCGTGCGAAAAAACCCAGGTATTTTGTTTATTTTTGCTGCTCTAAGACATGGTCACTTCAGTGACAGTTTTGATATTAAAGACATTTCATAGTCTATGTTTATCTCATTTTAAATAAAACATTTACATTGTATTTATCTTGATTGACAAAATATATACCCAATATTTCTTTGACCGAAACAATCAGTTTCAATTTGAATCTGAAAGTTCATCATATGCGTAATTTGAGAAAACAGTATTATTAGATGATATAAGACCTTTTTATCTATCAATATCGTTTTAAAATATAACAATTTAAACACTGACATATTTCATAAGCAGTACAGAACCTTTGAACAGATACCGTTTATGACAATCTAATCCAAAATCAAGGGTTTGGAATTCCTTAGTAGAATTTTCTGTTTGCAATAATATGCATGTGAGACGATTCGCTATTGAAATATTTCGATAAAGTGACCTTGTACAGTGCAATTGCATGATTCCCAGATACTTTAAAAAAGCATTATCAACTTTAAGCTGGGATCTTTCTATTGGACTTATTTAGAAATCGCTAATCTCTAGATATCAAAATATCACTATAGTTTATTTAATTTACAAGTAATTGACACTTTAACAATGGTTGGAATCTCTATTACTCAGTGCAATGATAGTTGTTTTACTTTTATAGTAGGAGCTTGGCCTCTCTTCTCTAAAATGACAAGACAATATTTACACATTGACGTGGGAACTTCCAACAAGGGCTTATACTTTGTTGCAAATTTTAGTCCGCGTTGCTACCTTACTAAAATTTATACTCACTACATTGTTTATATTAATATCAAATCTATGGAAGAATGTACAAAATAAGTGTCTATCTGCGTGCATAATTGTTCCCCCTCGTAATATTTAGTCTCTGACTTGAACCTTTTAATCGTATTTTTGTAATTAAAATTTTTTTTTCAAGAGTTCGTTTGTGTTAGTAAGCTACGGTACATGTAGTATTGTATATAAGACAATATTTAAAGTGGTACCTAGATATCGGATTAACAGGTTGGGAACAATTCCCCTGTAGAGAGATCATCTCGCTAGAGCGCGATAATCCCTCTATAGCGGAAGAATAAACATTACCATAAACAGGTGTTTTGTTGTTTTGATTACAAAATAATAAAAAATCTCGTGCTTTTTAAAAATCCGGGACAAGACTGCATTGAAGCTTGAATTTCCTACATAAAACTGACAACCTGAGCTAGAAATTTAAGACAATCACTGCTGCATGTGAGAATAGGAGGTGAAAATCAAGTGTAAATCGTGCATTTTTTTGCAACGGTTTTAAAATTTACAGTTATATATGTTTATGAAGCAATATAAATTATGAATAGATATCCAAATTATATTCGTTAAGGTTTTAGCTTTCCCTTCGTGCACAGAAGGTAATAATTACGTTCTCCAGAAACCCATGACCATTGCTGAAATACTTGATCTTTGGTGGACTACAAGAAGTACGGAAGCGCAACAGGGTTGTAACATTTGTTTAAAAGTCATGATTAAAAAAAAAACAACTATCAATGACATATATACAAGCTAGATACCCCATTAAATAATTAAATATAATTGAAAACAAATCAATTTAAAAAAGTTTAAATTAAGTCTAACCGATATTGACATAGTACAAAATGTTGATATATAGTAACTCTTGGACTTGCAGTAAGCGTGATATTCTCGACGCATAATAACCGTCAAATGGTGATCTAGATTTTCATTGGTTGTCTTAGCTTATCAATATTCATAGGAACATAGTCAAGCATAACTGATAAACGGCACAAAACAGTTTAGTATGAATTATTTTTTTATAACACAGAGAAAAACAAAAATGCGAAATTGTTGAGTGATCACTGCTTTCCACGTGTTGTGTTAGTTTGAAGAAGTATAGGCCCTAAGTGTTCGTACATGTACTTCAATGACAAATTCTTAACGTTTTTTTCCGGTGGCAATGAACAGCTCCACGTTTGAAGACACTTGCGCTGGAATCATGTTGGGATCCTGCATAACAAATGTAAATTTTAATAGTGCATCAGATACTTTCCAATACAGAGATTGCATAGGAGAACCCAGGCCCGTAGATTTTTTTTTTCAAAAAGGGGGGAGGGGGGCTTCCAAATTTGACCAAAATAATAAATAAAAAGTGCCCAAGGGAATAAATGCTTTTAAAGGTACGCATTTATTTAGAAAGAAGATTTACTAACACTATGTGAAATACTTCGTAATTAACATTTTATTAATCCTACAATGAAAATTATTATATTTTTATTGAGTTAACAGGGGGGGGGGGGCGTCACGTATAAGCGATGATTTGCAGGTTATATGGCTTCCTGTAAGTCGAGTCATACTTGAAGGTCACCCATAAGACTATTTAAATTAAATTGGCTGTGAATTGAAAATGGTTAATGTTGATAGCTTTTACCATGCATCTGTTTTTGAACTTCGGTATAAATCTAAAGAAATCTAGTCACATAACCTACCTACTGTATTTGTTCCTTGCAATTGTTATCCCCCCCCCCCCTCGCCGCCGAAAATTTGTGATTTTTTCAAAATAACATGTACAGTTATATTCTGAGAGCAATACAATAGTATGGTCTAATGTTTTTTTTTTTTTGTTTTTTTTTTTGTTTTTTTTTTAAATTGAGTTATTAATGTATTAATGTTGTTTTTTTTTTCATTCACGGGTAAAATATACAAAAGAATAAATATATAGAAGATCCTGCAAACATTGACGAGTGTAACAATGAGCTCATGAAATGAAACTCCTGCTCCCACATGTGTATAATGATTAAGTCCATTTGTTGCTATGGGAAAGTCCAAATATCTGTCCGATAAAAAGATAAATTAGGAGGTCACAATTTAAAAGAGAATCTGTAAAAGTATCATTACATTTTATTTAGTGGTAGGAGGAGTTGCTGATAAGAGATGGGTACCCCAAATCGTAATGGAGGGACGGACAGCTTTATAGACAGAGTAACTGACGGACACCTGATCACTATATACCCCCCGCTTTTCAAACGGGGTTATTAAAAAAATAAGGCGAAAGATATACGTACATCTGCAATAAGCAAGTTTACTCGTACTGATATTTATCACTTGTGGTCCTCCGTAGAAAGTCTATACAATTGTGCAAGATCTTATTCAAATTTCCAAGGTATGCAGCAGTAGAGGCAATATTTTAAAGCAAATATATAGAGATGAGACAATAAATATTTAACAAATGGGTTGACATGCTTCCGGATTTTCCTTTTACGGTAGTTAACACGTTTACAGATGGAATCGGAATATAAATCTCGGGTTTCCGAGATGTATTTTCTCCCGCTAGAGAGGGATAATCGCGCTGTAGCGAGATGATCTCTCTACAGGGGAATTGTTCCCAACCTGATTAATAAAGTTATTTTGGAAAGTGGGAAACAGTAAGTAAGGCATTCGTGAAGCATGTTTTAATAATATTTCATATTAATCTGCTTGAATCAGAAAGCCCGAGAAATGACTGTGGTAGGCGTAGTCACTAGCTCGACTGCCCGCGAGTACATTTATCCCCCACTGCTGTCCAACCTCCAGCCAAACTCTATCACCTTTCTCGAGTTGGAGCACAACAGAGCCTCCATGTTGAATCCATTCCTGCTTATTATGGTCGAAGAAAATGTACATCTCATTAATTCCATTTTTCTTAAGAAAAATATGTAGACCGTGATCCTGTGATTCTGGTGTTGCGGAACCGGTAAAGGCGAAGTTATAGGTTCCAGAAACAGGCGCGTCAAAAATTCCGTGAAATGGATCATAAGCATTTCCTACGTTAGTCCTCATACCGGAAAAGGTCAAACTGGTTCCCTTTGTAAGATTTGCAAGGTCGGTGGTCAGATAAGCGAAAAAGGCAACGCTTTTATCCTTGGCACTTAACAACGCTGAAAAATGTCATTTATGACAACAATAATTTGAGTTTAAGGTACATTACATCATTTTTACAAGGAATTAAGATGTTAGATGGAATTTAGTATGTTAAAAAAATCACCCCCTCCGCATGTACTTACATATCTGATTCTTCAAATCGCTGACGTCATTTTGAAGACTTATGATATTCGCCATCAATGTCTGAACTTGACCAGCAAGATCCTGTTCAGATGTTGATGGCTCGGGATTATTCATCAAGTAGCAATCAACAGTACCGAGGAGTACCAAAAGAAGCAACATCCCATCGTATTTTCTCATGGCTGAAAAACGACTAAAATATAGTAGAATTCTCTTATCTTTGTCAAGTACATGTGTCCCTACTATGACTAGTAACACAAAATGAATTTTCTGTTTTCCAAATCTAAGTTTTATTTTTTTTCTATAAATTTATGAATTTAATGGGTTTATCATTGCATTTTTTATTCAAAGAATCATACTGAACACTTTGTGTTGGTTATCATATAAATTATAACATTTTAACTAATTTTAACTACAATTCTGTTTTGGCCTTTTTAGTAGTATATGTAACCTGATTAAAGCGACCTTATTACCCTGTGTAAGATTACGTTTCAATAAATTTGCGACCTTTAAGAAAAGGAATCAAAGACATTATTATATGTGCATGTGCCAAATTACTAGAATGCTTCTCCCAGATCCCTATTATGATTATAAATGAATCCTTTCTCTGTAATTAACGCGTAGACAGCGTAACACAGCAATATTCAGAACCAGTCTATTTTCCTAAGTTAACCGAAGCATTTGGCTGGTTCGCTAATCCGTGAAGTGTGTTTGGTTCAATTACGCTATTCAATGAAACCTTCTTTTATTTTAGAAAAAAGGATTTTGAAGGTGTTGTATTCTTTCAGAAATTGACCTACACTTTGTTCTACACATTGCATTGCATGTACTTAATGATTCGTTGAACTTTGTTGGAGGTTCAAAAATCCTCGTGCGTTAAAGGGAGCAATCAAGGGATCGTAAAAAATAATCTGATAATACGATGTAATATTGAATTCCAGGGCTGAGCATAACAGCAACATTCTTAGCAATGATCAGTTTAGTATATAACTAATTAATGCAATGGTCATCTTTTAATTCCAAAAATGTAAAGTGCCAGAGAACAAAGGAACTTCAACATGCTTTCAAAGATGAAAAATATTTGCAATTTAATGAAAATATTTGATGTTCACCCAATGCTGTTTGTTAAACATGTCAGTGAATTGGAAATGACCCTAAGTATGCCTTAAAGGTAATTGATTGAGATAAAACATAGGTCAAAGAAAGTCCGAAAGTCAGATATAAGCACCATAGATTAAATTCCGTTAAATAAATTATTGCTGACCAACTAGCTATGTATATGGCGCCTGTAAACGATTCAATTCTTTACCTATAAGGCGATTTGGGAATCTCTCTGTTTATATCCATAATGAATAATAAATCAAAAGACAAAATTCTTAAATATATGTTATTTCTAGAATAAACATGCATTGGTAATCCTTCTCATTAATATAACAGTACTCATTGTTAATAAACATAGATGTTTTGGATAATGAATCATGCAGTTCATATTATACGAAAAGAGAATAAGAAAATGTTTTTGCAATCATTTTATATTATTCCGAACAAGAAACAGTACAGGTAGATAGTGTGACTGGCCTCTTCATTGTCTGTTCATGTTTCTTTAGAGCTTCAGAAGTCAACCATTCTCCCTCATTCAGACGTTACGACCATTGTATTTATCTCCATTATAAGCACTGAGACATAAAAGGGGGGCATCTGGTTTAATTCTAGAACTGTAGAAATCTATGAATCAGAAGTATTCAATCAAAACAATCATCACCCAATCTGTAACCGATTTGATAAACGATCTCCTACATGTACTTTCAACTATCATTATATTACCTTGTTTATTTTATAGAAATTGAAAGCATTTCTTAGATTGCGAAAAGAAAATTCATCAAAACATTGCAGTGTACTATAAATTATGCATTTTTAATTCCATGTAAAAAGAAAGTCTTGTGGTTTATTTGCATAAATTTCTTACATTTCATTGTATTTCTTAACAGTTTTCGACATTCCTCAAAGCCTGTAAAGCCTTTGATGGATTCGACAGATTTAATTTCTTCATAGACATGACCTTAAGTTGACGAGGATGTTTGAGTGCAAAAAATTAAAAAAAAAAAATCTTCCAAGACACCTTAATATGATTAAAATTTGGCAAATGCAGCATGTTTCTTTAGTTGCCATTAATCATTTGTTGTCTAGCAGTAAATCGCTGTGAAAATGATGGGCATGACTCCAGCGTTTTTATCTGATCATCGACGCTCAAATCGGATTATTGGGCCCTTTGACTGTCAGGTGTATAGAGTCCTTAGGACCCCATCATGCGAGGGGACCAACAGTTGATCTAGCGTTATACAGGTTTTACAAAAATATTGATCATAAAGATGCAAATCGCATTACATTATTTTAGTGCTTGACAAATTGAGTGGCAAAGAAACATGAAAGGGTCACGGCAATACAAACCTAATATTATGACAGGTGTTTCATTAAGAGGAAGGATTGGGTAGATTGTTTTTATGTGTATGTAACGTCTACCAACAGAACGTGACGAGTCATTTCTGGTAGTTTAGTGCCATTTTTTTGTGGATTGCAACTCTCAGCAATAAGCAATAAATGTTCATACCAAACAACTACTTAAATTTTAGAATTAAAGTCAAGATTTCTTAGGCACAATTTGAAATGACTGCATCAAATTCATGTATGGTGAAAAAATCATTCTTCGTGATAAACTTACTTGTCATTAAGAAAAAAAACTATCCTTTACATACTGATGTATTTGACCAGCTGAAAAGTATTACTATATGTACGTACACAGGTATCATATAACTGTTCCATATACAATGTTCTAATAATTCAGGCTTTAGTTTTAGAATTTCAGCTTTTGGTTAGTCTTTCTGTATTTAATGTATCAAAAAAGGAATGAATCTTAAACTTCTTATACTAAATTCTAAACAATAAAAAATAACTAGAAATATGTTAATGTAAAAATGGTATCTTAAAGTATATGACAAATTGTCAGAAATTTTGAAGCTGTATAATACAATGCAGGACACGAAAATCACTAGAATCCGATTGCTATCATTGTCTGGCACTTTGCGAAGGTCCAGAGGATCAAGTTGTCACATAATTTCAAAAATGTTCTAAAGAGGCAAAATTAGTTCGGAATGACACCAAAATTACCCCTAACTATTGGCGGGAACTCACGCACACACAGTTATGTTAATGGGGTGTTGGATTCTTTAGAGGGATAACGATTGTTTCATACATATACAAAACGCACTTTGGAATTTGATTACATTCATGGTCATGATTTATTGGGAGATTAGGAATGTAAATTTTCATAATGAATCATTATTTACCATTCAATAGCAATCAAAGTATACAAACAACGATTGCTTTCTATGTGTTTTACTCCTCGTGCGCGATCATATTTTTTCCGTATCAATAAATCCACTACATAATATCCATAAATCTCCCAAAATCATCCGTTCAACACCCATAAATAATATTAGGATTTGTGATCATACATGGGAAAATATCTGTCATTATACATACATATTTTCTATTTCTTTTGCATCATAATTCAAAGAAAAATATGATTGATGATTTCTATATGGGGTCTTTCCTGTAAATTGGATTTGTGTATCGCCTCTCAGTGGGTCTTTTTGGTAATATACCTTACAACCCAGTCTATACCACTGCATAATAATGGCCATGAGAGGCAATTGCTGAACCTTTTGTTGTGGCGTTTTCTCACGGGGAGACATAATTCCATTGTTGTATCAACTTTGTTGAACAACAAGGTCAGGAAATTCGTATATCAAGTTCACCGAATTAAAACTTCCTTTTTTGTGTAGACAGGATTGTTGTGTGATGGGGCACGACCTAGCGCATTGACGTAACACTATTGACAGGTCAAAACATTATAACGTACAGTATGTACATAAATTTTTAATACCAACATGCTACGATTATATATTTTTAGATCTCAGCATTGACACAAATTTATGAAAAAGATCAATTCAATTATTTCTTAACAGATTCAATGATTCGATTTCATACAGCTTTTGAAACCATTAAATTTTACGTTTCTTTCTGAATTTTAGGCTTCGATGCTACAGAGTGCACCTGTGCTGCCCTGTACTTACAGAGAAAAAATTATCGTAAATACTTGTAGTAATTTAAATCCCAAAGTCCTATCATGGCGATGAAGGTTTTAATTACTGGTCGACACCACAAGAAAATGCTGCCTATTTGAAAATTTGAACCCCATTTGTAATTTCAGCTTGACCCATGACCTATGACCTTAAACAAATATCGCTTGTAGACGCTTTAATTTATTAATTGTAGTCAAGGACGCTTTTATTAATTGTAGTCGAGAAAATTTCACTATGGTCATGATTAGTCGGACTTAAGTGCATATCCAAGAGGAAGCATTCATTTCAGTTTGACAAACGACAGATATTTCTATATTTGTATCTAATGTGAAATGTACTTTTACTTTGATCTTTCAGCTTATCTTGGGGACCATGGTCTGTAGAAACTTTTAATTCATGATAAAGAAGGTTTTACATCAGCTTTGTTATTTCAAAAGGAAGATTATAAATAAACCCCAACCCATTACATGTACATATGTTTATAATTTGATTTTAGATAACTCCACCCTATTATTACTTTTTGATTTTTTTAAAATCACCCATAATAATAACCTCCATATTTAATTACATTCACAAGCAACTCCACCAAGTAGGTTGTAAGTAACCTTTTTTTTAAAAACCTAAAACATCCATTAAATTAAAAATAATATTCTGTACGTGCTAGTTTAGCTTGAAATTCGTCCACTCATTTTGAGGAAAACTCAAATCTGTGAAACAGTGGGCGAATAAATAACTCAGAAAACCTCTGGCTCAGACTAGCTAAAAGGGAAGAATCAAACAATCTGAAATCATAACGTTACATAACCATCATTATAAATTAAGTAGATGTACACTGGTCTACTTTGACAAAAGAAGATGAAAACAAGATAAAGTTGCAAATACATGTATCAGAATCCAAATTTATTTCTTCGCCAATGCGTGCTCTTCTTTTCAATGACTGTCGTAAGTATAGTGGCTCCAGCTTTTATCCGATTCTGTTGAAGGGATTTTAATCGACAGTACTTAACCTAATAATTTCAT